GCAATTTCGAGATTATGCAACGTGACGACGGCTCATCTCAATGTTCAAATGCACATCGCCACGGTGCGTTTACCGGTTTCTTCTCTGCGGGTAATTTTAATATCTTTGAGGGCAAAGGGAAATTTTTTTTTTAAGTCGACCAGACTAGCAAGAAAAGTGATATTTATTTTAAGTCACGACATTTTAATAAGGTCGAAACGTGACTTAAAATAAAGATCAATTTTCTTGCCAGTCTGGTCGACTTTTCAAAAAATTTTCCCCTTGTTTAACTATTACTGGCGACAATAAGCTTCACTCAATTTCTTTGACGGCGGTTTTAGATTTGAATAAAATGTGGTGCGAGTGTCATATGCATTCTCGAGATCGAGGTGAATAGCAAACTCGCTTACGTATGCAATTATGCATACGTAAACGTATGCAAATGCCATTCTTGGTTTTAGATGGACGCGACTCGATTTTTCGTTCGTCCGTACTCTGTGACAAATCGGGCATTGCGGAGGGGAGGATAGGACTGTATGTATTTTAGTAAAAGGGCAACGACGCGGGTGGTAAAATAATTTGCACGTTGCAGGCGCGCAGGGGCCGGAGCTGTCGTCGCGTTTCACTCGCGTGCAAACCTTCTCTTTTACGCAAGCCCCAGGAAAGTGATCGACTTTTTTGCGCCGTTATTCGCTAGTAAAAGACAAACCGGGCTAGTGCCTCGCAATAACGATCGTTGTTCTCGCGCGCGGCACCGGGAATCAAATTGAGATCACCGAGAATTTTTCCCCCCCTCGTCGCGTTTTCCTCGCGCTATACGGAAATTTTATCGGTGAACTTCACGCTCTCACAGTGGGTGCCATTGAAGTGTCGGGTCTGAATGGGATCTTGTCGATCTGCAATCGCGCTGTTTATTGCGGATCGTGAGCAATAATTACGTGGCTAATTACCGCGAGATACGCGAGTGGGATCAGCTGACGCGTGAAAGTTCGCGGGAAACACGATCAATTGTGGGAGGCCGATTCGGATTTGACGCAACGCGAAGGCAAATCCCTGCGGTACGCAAAAAGAGAATCCATCAGCGAAATGTGCGACGCGAAGTAATCATTACGCGACGAAAAAAAACGCAAGTGGTCGTTCTTATGTTGACACTTGGTCGATGAATGTCTTTTATTTGCTCATCGTACGACGAGATATCTGTAAGGCCCGGTCTACAATGAGTCGTTAGTCGTTAGTCAGAAGTCGCAACTATATGTTGATCCTTTTCCTTTCTGGGTGGAAGAAAAAGGACCGACATATAGTTCCGACTTCTGACTAACAACTCATTGTAGACCGGGCCTAAGCATTTGAAATCTGGACCGGCCGCATCGCCTTTGAGTTCTCGTGCTTGTTCACACGCGCGGCAACACTCGCGAAAGCTTCAAAAAAAAAGAGACGAAAAAAGTGCCGTCATTAAACCTTGACAATGTCTAGGCTACGCGCGGCTTGCGTCGGCGAACAAAGTGCAACGTTCATGACTTTTGCATTGCGCTCACATCGACCGCCTACGCGTGGCTCGTCTATCAGATGGCGGCCAAACGAATACCAAGTGCCCGCACTCCCTTTTTGCTCGCGTTCTTTGAGGATACGATCATTTCTAAACATTAATTCGCCGCGAGTCGCTGCACGGCAACTTTTAAATCCGCGCTACGAATAAGAACTCCTTAATAATGATTTTGTCGATTCTCGTTCTCTTTCTCTCTTTGTCTCGTTGTCTCTCTTCAGATCGAGGCCTTAGATGGCAGATAAATGACAGATAAACGCAAAATAATATTAACGTTTATTCGCATGGAAAAGACGAAAAGTTGCCCATTAAAGTTTCTATGTTACTGTTTAATATAAAAATGCATATAGTCCGACTACTTGAAAATCGCTTTGAGACATTAATAATATATCGATATTATTCATCTTTTAATATTTTCTACAACGAGAATGGAATAACGTTTTCAGTATGTGTATAACTTCTTAAAATTACCATAGGATATTAATAATATATCAATATTATTTATCCTTCAACATTCCTTTCTACAACGAGAATGAAATAATGTCTTCAGCATGTGTCAAAATCCAAATTGTTGTTAGTTCAAGACGCTAATAACATTAACCATCCCTTGGGAAAATTTACTTTAAATGAAATTAAAGGTTTTTTAAAGTAATCCTTCAAATCTGAGAGTTCACTTAAAGAAGTTGAAAGTTTACTTAAGGAATGTTAGAGTAATTTTGGACTCTTGAAGTAATTTTTAGACAGCATGGCCTGTCGAAGTTCCTACCTTCATAAGAAGAAAACCGCACGCGGTATTACAAATTATACCGCATACTTTTCACAATTCTTAAAGAAAGTTTTAAGTTTTACCTTAAATAAAAGTTTAGTGTCCAAATTTTTAATTCCTCTAAAGTAAACTTTTACGGTTCTCTAGGGTAAATTTGCCCGTGGGATCTTATGGCGTTTCATTCTCGCAAGAGAAAAAAATGACGTCCAAAGGAGAATTTGGGAAAGCGGTAGACGAGAAAAATGAGAACGTAAATACTTTGGCGTATTCCGAATCCTTTTTATTAATGAAAGCGCTTCTAAAAATGGCTAATGAGTCTTCTGATTGGCTACGAGTCACTTTTAGAAGGCGCTTTTATCGATGAAAGAGGATTCGGAGTACGGGCCTTTGTTGAAAATAATGTAGGAGAGCGTATGTCATTAAGCGTTCGCTTCTGTGCCGCCTGCGTTCCGTAATAGAGATTCGTGCTGTTTTTCAACGAGTTACATCGAGGCGGACGGAGATGACTACCGCGTTCGCTTCCCTCAAGTAGGCCGGTGTGCGGTCTGCTGTGTCATTCATATCGGGTCCACGTGAAAAGAGAACACGGCGTCCCGCGTCGCGGCGCGTGGCTGTCGCGGAAAAGTAATGACGCGATATGTTCATGTGCCGTCTCTTATGCATAATTCCAAATATAAACCTGATTACGTGACTTCGTCGAATTAAAGTCCAACGATCGCAGTGTGTCTCACGTAGCGAGATCTCAGGCCGATAAAATTGCTCTTCGATAAGCCGGAGATCCGTGACAGACAACGTGTCGCGGATCTCCGGAAAAATCTCGTTTCGCCGGCAATAATTGCGCAATATGGCTGTGTCTTCGGTTTTCCCCGATTGATCTGGGGAGGTGAGAGACGGTGGAGCCTCGCGGCTACATTTGCCAGGACGACTTCTCTAATCCCATCTCTGTTACGACGAAGTATCCCCGAAAGTGCGATTTTTCGTAGCGTTCGCTCAAGAAATCCTCAAATATATCAGTTATCGCGGTTACCTTTCGAATTCAGTCTATTGCTGGCTCTGTTTCACGCAGTTCTTTCCATCCTTTGTGACGAAAAATTTGACTATAGTTTATATTCAGCCTTGATATACTGTTAGTCTGTGATGTGTTATTAACAACTTTATAATGTACAGCTTATATATAAGATCTAACAGATAATTTTCGAGAAATCCTAAATTTATGTAACGCAACTACCGTCCAACTGTAAGTTAAGTTTTATCAAACACTTTTTGTATTCCTAGATTGCTTGAAAAGAACGAAAACCATGGTCGAAACGTAGCGTTTCTTAAATAAAGAAAAGAAAATTTTGCTAGTCATGGTCAAATAATAAAGTGTACTGGATTTGTTAATTATTACTGGCGACCTAGAAGATTTCATATTCGGTTCATTAGAGGAAAGTTCTCTATTACGAGACAGGAAGTTTTCAACATGAAAATTTCATCGCAAATTTTTATTCACAACGATTTCACGATCTAACAATGAATTTTCCACTAAACAGATTTCACTCCAAGGGCAATAAATTAACGCTGAAACCCGGGAAGTTGCCGCTTTATGGCGCTTTCACGCGATGAGCGATATCCAATGAGAGCTCGGCTTTTTCGAAAACGTAGAAGGGCCTGAGCAGAAAGTTTGTCGTAGTCGTTTACGATTCTGTCGTAAGACTTAGATCGGTGTCGGAAATCGACGCACAAAGAATTGTCGTAGACGCCTTGCGATGAGACGAATGCGACATCGACTCGCGTCTTAGGGCCAGAGCACAAAGCAACGTAATAGCTTACGACAAAGACGCAAGCGTAATAGTTGCTTTATATGTTTTTGGAACCTCCACAGATCCCATTAGGCCTTGCACTTGCGCATAAACGCCTCCATCGACATTCTCCAATTCAAATGCAGATTTGATATGTTTATTTTCATTACAAGAAAGTAACTGGCAAAGTAACGATTCGTTACTTTTTGAGTAACTGTAACGCGTTACTTTTCAGAATTGGTAACTTGTAACTGTAACTAGTTACATTTTTAGCGAAAAAATTGCAACTGTAACTAGATACTTTTATAAAGTAACTTTCCCAACTCTGCTTACACCACAGTGAAAATGCTAAAACGGCTTTAGTCTCTTTCTAAGGCGACGGTTGGAAAGAGACGAAGCTGTTCACTTTTAGCATTTTCACCGTAGTGCGAGATACAGAATTGACCCCGAGATCAAAAGATGTGGTTATCGGGAATATCGAAATCGCCTCGGTGAAACGCACTGCCAACTCTCGGTTTAAACAATTTTTTAAATTCCCAATTTGAACTCCTCCCTTTCCAGAGGGTCCCAAAGGGGCCTTCCTTTCCAGGAGGGACAGGAGGGCCAGAGAAGATTCTTTGCAGAGTTTTTTTTTGCAATTTTACCATACATTTTACTAGCAAAATGCACGGTTTAAAGTTTCAGAAAACTCTTATAAAGTTGTTCAAAACGCCGCGTTGTCCCGCGCGATTACACGATTTTCAGGATGAATTTCAAGAGCAAATTCCCTCGGTGTAGAAGTGCGAAATGACGCACTCGACAAAACCGCGTCCCGTACGTGGCAAGACAGCCTCGTCAACGTCGCTCGCCCGAGGCGAGGCTGATCGATGCCGCGCGCGGACGCGCAGGCCGGCGTGCACAGGTGGGCAATGATGTCGCGTCTCTTTGTTCCAGGCGTTTCGCCGCCGGAAGAGCCTCTCCGGGGTTCGAAACGCGCGCCAGTCGTCGCCGGCCGACCCACGTGGTACGTGCGGCCGTATCGACCACCGGTGCGACCGGCGCGTCGATTGGCACACGGCCGGGACACGTGACCACAGCGCGCAGCAACGTCAGTCTGGACTGCACCGTCTGCTAGCTGGTACGGTGTGTCACGCAGGCCGCGGCACTTGTCAACGTACGCTCGACGAGGGAACAAAGGATCCGGCGGGGAGAGAAAGAGAGAGAGAGAGAGTCCTGCGGCTGGTCGCGCGCGCGCCTGCGAGCTACGGAGAGAGCGAGTCTCGCACCCTCCGTTCGTCGGTGCGCCTCGTTCCCGGTTCGCGTCGAGATCGCCGATCCTAGAGCCTCGCGGCCGACGGGGATTCGCGGCGTCACGGTACCGAGGACAACCGCGTCCGTGGTGCCGCCGCTCAGGCCTGACAGCTCGTCGTCGCGGGATTCCGTCGGTGCTCGTCGGGCTCGAGGTAATCGAACGGAGAGCCGTCGACGCTACGCCGAGCGCGGAATAGTCTAGTGTCTCTGTCTTTCTTCGTCTCTCTGTGTGTGTCTCTCTCTCTCTCTTGCGCGCGGAGACCTTCGGACCTGAAGACAGCCGCGAATTTCGAACGGCACGCACGTTCCGCGCGGATCCGCGTCTCCTCCTCCCCCGCTCCTTGCCATCGGTCGAGTCCCGCGGCCTGTGGTGCGCGGGCTTAGGACATGTACAGCATGAACTATATCGCCAAGATCATCAGCAACTTCCGCCTCTTCTACAACGAGATCAACGCCGCGACCCTCACCGGCGCGATCGACGTCATCGTCGTCGAGCAGCCGGACGGCTCCTTCACGTGCTCGCCCTTTCACGTACGCTTCGGCAAGCTCGGCGTGCTGCGCTCCCGGGCGAAAGTGGTGAGTACGCGCCGAGCGTTCGCGCTCGTTATCGCCGCGTTCATCCCCGCGCGGGTCGTTAGAAAGAGAAGATTATCCGCCCCGGCTTCGCGTCAACTAACACTTCTGACTTGCCATCGAAACGTTTCGTCGCGATACTCGTAGCAGTGTATTTATTTATTGTATAATTGAATATTTTTCATTGTTACCTGCCGTCTTTTCTGCGTGACGTTGCTTCTTTTTTCGAGCAAATCTTTCCTCGCAACTCCTGCCTTTGCGCCTTTATTGAAGTAAGAAATTGCCAAACAACGACTTAAAGACGTGCTGTACGGATTAATGTTATATCTTTGAAACATGTGATTGTACACGAGAGATTGAGATCCCGCTTACACGAGGGGTGTTTCCGCAGGTGGACATTGAGATAAATGGAGAGCCCAGGGAGATTCACATGAAACTCGGCGACTCCGGCGAGGCGTTCTTCGTCGAGGAAGTGAGCTCGAATGGATCGCCGACGGACACCGAGATTCCGCCGCATCTGGCCTGCTCGCCGATACCCGACAACTGCTTCCCGCCGTCGAAATTCAATCTGCTGTCGGAGCTGCCGCAGGAGCAGCGGGAGAAGATCCTGATAGACTCGGTTCTCTCCACGGAGCGAGAGAAATGGGAGCAGATGTCCGCCCTGCCGCCCGATCAACGGGAGAAATTTCTGATCGAGCAGTTCTCGGATCTTCCCGCGGAGCATCGCGAGAAGTGGCTCCAGATCGCCTCGTTGACCGCGGAGGGCCGGGACGAGATGTTCAAGGAGAGTTTCGGCACCATATCGCCGGAGCAGAAGCAGCAGATGATCAGGGAACAGTACTCCGCCTTGAAGACGGAGGACAAGGAGAGGTTGTTCAAAGAGAATTTTCCGGAGCTGTCGGTCGAGCAGAGGCAAAACTTCGAGAGAGCCCTGCTGAGCGACTGGAAGGAGAAGGAGGAGGAGAAGTGGGAGGAGAAACGCGACAAGAACGAGGACGAGGAGATATTCGATATGGACGCTATCAGCGACGAGCAGCCCAAGTCAGCGATTCCAAAGTCCTTCGTAGCCGTCACCTCGTCCGAGAGAATTCGCAAGATCAGCGTGGTGAAGAATGATTTTAGGCCAATTACGGACGACCCGCAGAGCAGCAGTAAGGAAAAGTCTAGCGACGAGTGCAACCCGCTCGAGTCCTCGGGCAAGAAGAATTCCAAGGAAGAGAACGTCGACGAGGGCAAGAGTAACAATTCGACCAAGAGGAAACGCAAGAGGAAGAGTATTATGAAGAAGAAGGGCTCGCAGAGGAAAACTAGCAACGGCAGTAGCAGCCAGACGGAATTGAGCGAGACCGATGCGGTTTTTACCGAGGAGTCAATTAGCGAAACGGTTAGTAATGTTTCAATGAGCATTGCGTACTTTGCTTGTACGTAGAGACGAGAGCTTATTTGGTGACGACATTTCAGGGCCTCACTCCATTGACGGACGATGAGAAGAATGCTGTCGCGGAATCGACGACGTCCTCCCAAGACGCGATTGAGAAACGACCCGAGACCGATTTTCACTTCTTCAGTGACTCAGAAGTTACCAAGTATATACAGTTGACTTCTCGCTTATATTATGAATATACGCAGACATAGAACTAGGAATTTCATTCGACACAATTTACTATTAATTGTTCTTTATTTCACGTTGTTTCGACCGTGGATTTCAAATGAAATTTCTATTCCTGTCATTTATTTACTGGCGAAGAAAAGTTATCGCTACGGTACACGGATACTTACTGACTTGTGCGTCCAACAGAAACAAGGACTCCAGACCAAGTTCACCTGTTCAGTCAGACACGGAATTTGAAGTGCGTAAAATTACCCAAGAGGGTAGCGAGAGGGAGGACGACAAGGCTCACCAGCAGAGTTGGAGATGGGGCGAGCTGCCCAGTCCTCCTCCTGAGCCGGCGCATATGTCGCATAGGAATTCATTGAGCTCTTTGGCAGCAACTAACCAACCGAACAACAGTTAGTACACCTTAGTTTATATAAAACTGTACACCGTTCACGCGCATACACACACGTAATTAACATCACATTGTACGGTCCTAATTGAAAGATGCCATTGTCGATTCCTTCATGTTTCGAGAAACTAATAATGCCTGATTCTGATACAACAAAATTTAACAAGTCAGTGTCGTGAAATTCTTAATCTTTTATTTTTCCTCGCGAAAAGACACTAACTCGGGTCGCTTGATCGCTAACTCCGTTTGCTAACCGCTTTTTTAATGGCAGAAGATGCACAACGATCTATGCTCAGTGGCATGTTCTCCTTTATGAAGAAGACTTCTCGCGTAAGACACAATCCGGAATCGGAGGGAATTTATCTTAGCGATCTTAACGCCGACGAACTGGACCCCGAGGTTGCGGCTTTGTACTTTCCCTCCTCGCACCGAGGCCCGACGATGGTTAAAGGTATTTGGTAAACTGGCTTTCGCTTCTGCATGTTAAAAGTGCATGTAAAGTGCATCAAAACTAACAGTAAATGCATTCCTTTGTATTACAGTTATTGAATTAAAAGCAAAAGTCTTTACATCTTTTTCTATTATGATTTTCAAAGATTAAGTCTTCTTGAACTTTACGCGAATATTTTATACAATTAATAAATCTGTAGCTTTACTTTTTGGGACTGAAAGAGTTTATCTTCAAGTTTATTTGTGGTGGTAACAAATAAAGATAAATGACTAACAAAGCTGTATACATTTGTAAATAAAACTTGAGTTTTGGTTTCTGTACTAACGAAATTGGTTGTTAATAGGAGATATAGTTTTCATGTTTGGTGTCAGAAAAACGTGTAACGTGTATTTCATTGCAGATAGAAAAACGGCGGATGAAGAGGATACAGAGTCGGGTAACGGGCCGAGCCTACCTCAGAGTCCCAACAGTGTCGAGGGAGCCATCGGTGGACCAAAGTCTCTGGACAGCGATTTCGAGGAACCGAAGCATCCTATTTTCGATAATAACGTAGAAATAAGTATATCTCTGTGCGGCGGTTTGGACAGCGAAAGTGGACCGTCCAAGGAGGCTTTCAACGAAAACTTGTTGCACTTCGAGGACGTCTGTACCGATCCGAAGCTGTACGAGAACCCGAATCTGATTGTGAAAATTAACGGGAAATTCTACAATTGGACTACAGCCTGTCCGATAGTGTTGACCTACGTCGTTTTCCAAAGACACTTGCCGCAGAGCGCAATCGAAAATCTGTACATGTCGTTGCCGGTACACGAGGATAAGAAGCGAGAGAGTAGCGGCAAGCCCGAGAGTCGTAGCGGATACAGCTCGTGGTTTTCTTGGAGACGTTCTACGCAACCTCCCAAGAAACCAGAGGACGCTAGTCAAAGTAAGATTCCTCGAGCTTTTGTTTCACCCAACAAACTTCCTATCTTACAGGTAGTTATATTTGGAAATTTGACTACATCAAAATATGATTCTTTTGATTTGTTACAGATGACGAAATTACTGTGCAGACATCTGAGCAGTCGTTGGAAGCTAAGACTGTGACAAACGATGAATTACCCTCTGCAAACAGGTGAGTTTCTCTCGATGAGCTTCTTTTGATATCTGATTTTGTGTGCATTCTTCAAGTCTGTGAATTACATTTTTACAGGGAAGTAAAGACTGAGCAAAACACAGACTCGTCAAGCTCCGAGGTAATGGAAACTTGTACAAGATTGACATCGACACCGAACGAAACTACACTCACAAAGACTGAGAAAGCGCGCGAGGGAGAGGGCGAAGGATACAGCGGCGGTGAGGACTCGGACAGTAATCACAACGAGCCAGCGGGTATTAAGATACCTGTGGAAAGAAGACCGTATTACGAGTCCACGGAAAAGTATCGTAAAACCTTGCGACTGTCGTCCGAACAGATAGTGAGTATCTTTTGTAAGCATTGTTCACAATCGCGTATGAACAAAAAAGCGATCGAGTTCTAATTTCTTTGCAGGCGAGTCTCGATCTGAAGGACGGCGCTAACGAAGTGGTCTTTAGCGTAACCACTGCTTACCAGGGTACGAAACGCTGCAAATGCCATATCTACAAGTGGAAGTGGGATGACAAGATTGTCATCTCTGACATCGACGGCACCATTACGAAATCCGATGTCCTGGGTCACATCCTACCGATAGTGGGCAAGGACTGGGCTCAATCCGGGGTTGCTCAATTATTTACCAAGATCAAGAATAACGGCTACAAGCTACTGTACCTCTCGGCGAGAGCAATCGGCCAGGCTGGAGGAACACGGGAGTATCTGAGAAACTTGAGGCAGGGGGACCTAACGCTGCCAGAGGGCCCCTTACTTTTGAATCCTACAAGCTTGATCTTGGCGTTTCATCGTGAGGTGATAGAGAAGAAGCCGGAAGAGTTTAAGATATCCTGTCTGAAAGATATTCAGGCGCTATTCCCTGAAGGCTCCGCGCCGTTTTACGCCGGATATGGAAATCGCATAAATGTACGAACGATAAATCCTACAATATCTATCGACTATTGAAATTAATTGTAAAATAATGGAGAATTTTTTGCCGAAAATGTATTGGCAGATGTGTAACGTGTGAAAAATCTCTTATATGCGCAGGACGTGTGGGCGTATCGAGCAGTAGGCATTCCTATAATGCGGATCTTCACCATAAACTACCGGGGAGAATTGAAGCACGAATTGACGCAGACATTCCAATCTTCGTAAGTATTACATCGCGTTATCGTTTATTAAAATAATGTTTCTTTTCTGCGTCGAGGAGTATCTAACAGCAAAATCAATAACCGAAGGTATATGTCTATTTAATCGTTGCGCAAATAACAATATATGTAATAATAATTTAATCACTTGTTTTTTTTACATTTAATTATTTTTGTGCTTTGTAAAATTTTTTTCTCTACGTCAATATGATTCTTTAATTGCTGTATTTTGTACTTTTAAATACTTTACTATATGAATTTGGAGCAACGCGTACTAACTTTAAAGTAGTCGTGTTATGTGCAGATGGGGATATGCAACTAATTACAATTTATATATTATATAGCTGTATAACATTTAACATTATTATCTGTGTACTTAATTATTTTTACTGCTTATTAATAGCTTATGATTAACATTTTTTTAAATACGCTAAAGATTATTAACAGACAGTGGACGTCTTTCTTACTAAACTATGGCTTAAGCGTTAAAAATGAAGTTATTGGTTGAAAGAAAGAACAGAAACGCAAGTTTTTCAAAGGGTATTGATAGGTCGGATATTTCTGTGATTACAGTTATGCGCGTCAGTGCAATATCGTCAATGACTTGTTCCCGCCACAACCAATGCCAAACGTCTACTAATAGCACAACCATAAATTTTAACGGGTGTATTAATTAGATTACCTATGTTAAAGTATTGATGCAGTAATGCCAGTGGCGTATTAGGCTTTAATACATTGTTGCATTATGCTTGGAACATTGCCATGCATAATTGCGCTACATTTCCTGATAATTGACATAGTACAAAACACACGTATTTCATACCGTAAGCACGCATGAATGGATATGACAGACTATCAGGAAAGGTTCATTTCCAATTATAAATATTTAAATGTGATACGTCGAACACGTGACCGTAATTAGATAATATGCTAATATTATATTATATTTTGGAATATACAATATTTGGTTGTGCGCGACAACTCCTACCTATCTTCTTATTTCTAGGGTAAGCACTTGTTTTGTTTGCACACATTTGCTTTCTTATCACCGCTTGACATGATTTGATTTTCAGCCATCTCTAACAAATCTCGTCATTGGGACACATTTCTGACAGCAATGAGGAAAGGGGTGGCGTTAACGTGACTTATAACTCATGACTATTTTCAGACATTGTTGCTTGAGTGAATACAAGCGAGGGAAATGTTTATCGCACCTCTCTGTCTCTCATATTCATTTTTATTTGCTTATTGTATCATAATTTTTCAACCAAGCACTTCACGATTGCTCTCGCATAAACTGTGCTTCTACCATCGAACATTAATAATGTTAATTCTTATAGAATTCTTGTAAAATAATTACTTACAAAAGTTGTGTGAAAATACTAATCACAACTTACATGATTTTACGATTTTTAATCCTATTTGTTTTACGTACATATATGTTGAAAGGATTTATTGTATTTTTTTAATCGTTTACATATTAATTCATGTTGTAAAACGAGCTGTAGACGCTAATGAAACATTCATTTTTCAGTCATACTGACGGCACGAGACTACGAACGTTGACACGTGCTGCAATTTTTGTCCATTCTCCTGTTGCAGGTATTCGAACATGAGCTTCATCGTCGATCATGTATTCCCGGCGTGGCGAGAGGAAGCAACCGATGAATTCAGCAATTTTGCATACTGGCGAGATCCGATACCTGAAGTACCGAAACTCGAGGAGCTCTACACTCAGGCTCAAACTACCTAAGGAACTTTCCTTCGTTGTACAACCGTCGTTTCCTTGGACTACGATTATCACATTTAATTAACTTTTGTACTCCGTGCGTTGATCGTAGTGACTTTGGCAGGTGTGATTGTCTAATACGTCAGGAAAGTCACGCTAATGTGAGCGATTTAATCCTTCGTATATTGGATTTGCTCTTTAGATATTAAGTAATTATTTATAACAATGATTAGATATATTTATATGTATTTACATGTATCATTTTAAATATACATGTATTTATTTATATGAGAATAACTTTTGTTACAAGTATGTGACTTTTCTTCGGAGACTAAATTTTATCGAGATGCGCGGTAAAACATTCCAGATTTGTTATATTTAAATAGTGAAGAATCTTTGCGTTAAATAGTACCAGATACATTCTGTAGTCGGGTTTACTCACACCTGTCAAGGTACACGGCGTGCCTAGAAACTAGATACACTATAGCTGCGTGCTTTACGGTGTAATTAACAGCCAGCCTTGTGTCGCGCACTATATTTCAGAAGTCTGCAAGCTGTTCCAAATGGCATACTTTTGTCAGAGTCTGTGTCGAATGCTCTCTGGAAATCGGGAGGGGAGTTTCTTAATCTTTGTCGCCTAGCGCGAATCGTCTATATTTGTGGCTCCTGCTAGAGAACCTCGCTTGTTGCTGCACACGTGCAACTTTTATACGAGCATATAATTGTCCGCGTACATGTCGTCAGTTTTCTACATTGAAACGCGCTGGAATTTCGCTTAGTAATCGATAGTAATATATTCATCTAGGATGTAAGAGATGCATTAGTAGGATAGCGTTTCACTACTTACGTTCCCTATTTTCAGATAGTTATAATTTCAGAGAGCTATAATTTATTTTTGTATAAGATCTCGATTAAGTTAGCGTGCTGTGAAATTGCCATATTCTTGAAATGATTTACATTGTGATATTCTGATCAAACTAGGGATTATCAAATAGTTAACGTGTACAGGCATGAATTTCTTTTCGACACTTGCGTTAAGGTAATCGTACAAGGTACGAATCTACTCTGTATTCCGTAATCCGTACGCGACCTAACTTTTATTTGCTAAATCATAGTTTTCCTTTAATCAAATACATTCTACTAGCTCTTGGTCTTTCGTATGTTACCTAAAATATTTTTGACATATAAATTAAGCTATCGTTGTTGTTTTATCGTTCGGTTAGAATGTGTAAAAATAACGTTGACGGATTCACACTTCTCGTCCTTGTCAAGTCATGCGATCGAGGCAACAACTGTATCCAACCAAAGAGGGTAGAGTTACATTCGCAATAGCGCTCATATCTTTTATTATATTATGATAATGCACTCGCTATAGGACAACGAGAAACAGGAAAATTGCAGAACAATGTACAAATAATTTTGAAAGCATCTCGATTTAGACAAATGTAACGGCACCGAATGACAAAGGAATTTATGACAAAACGATGTATATATTTTTTGTATTGTTGATTTAGAACAAACTTTAAATTAATTGTTATTTTAACTATTATATGATACGATATAATGTTACACTGTAAATTTACAATTGTTTAGTATTTAATTTATAGTATTTATCTATTTTTAAAAGCACACGTTATCATTGGTACAAATATATTTAGACAGTCTTGTTTATAATTTCCTTTACTCTGTATTTTTTACAATTTGTTTATATGTTCTAGTACCATGGCATAATCATTGTTCATAATGAAAAGGATTTTCCATTTTTTTATATGTGAATCTAGGATTGAACGAATTGGAGATAAAAAGATAATAGTAATGAATACATTGATGTAATCGTAATTATTAGGCACGATATCTTTCTACTGTGAATAATCTAATTTTTTTTATAAGTGGAGGCAATTCACACAGTAGAGTTGTGGGATAGGATTAAAAATTTATGTTGTATCAAATGACATATGTTTACAAAGTTTCCCGTGTCAGTAATAGTGTCACATTACCCGTAAGATGATCTCATCGTGATGCAACCTGTTTTATTGAATTTAGTTTACTTAATTCTCATCTGTTAGCAGTATTAGCACACCCCTAAACTTCTCTATATAATAAATGTATGACCTGTACCCTTTGGAATCGCAAAATAATAAAAATTATGACACCGGCTTTTTCGTCACAAATGCTTTGTAAAAATCAATTTATTGCTTTATCACATTATGAGTAAAACTACGTTATAAGAATTCTGTTAATCATGTAACGTGATATCGCGTAACTATCAAGACATTTTATGTTTGTGTTATATCAATGTTTTATTAACCATCTTTCACACTCCTGCCATACGGATGTTTTGTACGTGGAACACAATTTATATTAGGAGTACTTGTAAGGTCTTCCTCTCATTGATGTTTCACACGGCCAACGAGTTTTAAGCTGAAACATTTTAACATTTTACATCAAATTTACAATCTTTCAGGTTGTACGTTCAGGATTCTTCACTCGCACGTATCTAAAGTGACAACTTTGACAATTATGTACCTCATATTTTAATCTTTGCAAATTTTTTCGTCTGGTACCTTCGTTGTCTGAATACTCTATGGATTCAATAGAAGATGCACTGTGCCTCGCATCAGAATCGAAGTCAAAAACTACTCTGGGTTTATTATCATTGGCTTTGCTTGGCGACAAATACCAATAATATACGCCCTAGAAGTATCGTTTGAAACATCAATGAATTACGCATAGAAAAGTATGATGATAAAAATTCAAGACAATTTACAGGTACACGAGATTCCACTCACCCATAATATACCAATTATCCAAAATGCGGTTAAGACAATTATCATTTCATCATCAAGCATATTTTATTTGATCAATGTGTGAATTCTTATTTAAATATTTCACGTGAAACGATACTAATTAAAATACTAAAAATTTCGTTTGACATGTTCAAATTACAGACTAATCGAGACTCATTTGTCATATCTTAAATACAATTTCACGACGTGTGAAATATTTGCTGTTTGGAAAATAGTTCGGGAAGAGCGATTAAAAATAAGGAAATTTATTTATATATAAAGCTATATACACATGTTGCTCTTATTCTAAAGCTACGATACACACAGATTTCATGTATCATCATTGTTATCCACGTTCATTTCTTCCTCGTCGTTCTCCATTGTGTCATCTGATACCCCAAGTTTCTCGAAACCATGTTTCTTCGTGTACACTCCCAGAAGCAACAGTTTGAAAACTGCCAGCGGTCTACCCAAGAGTTTCTACAAAACACATCGGGATTAACAGCTTCAATGGTTCAACGTATCAACGGGATGGGTGTGTTCCCATTTTCTCTCAGTACTGCCGCTATTATTGAATTCAGCATCCGAGAAAGTCATTTCCAAATGAAACCTCAGTAGCCTTCGTAATAACATAGCGGTTATTCTTTCCTGAATGCAACCATTCGCACCTTTCCTTCGATACTGAATGCTCGAGACTATCGAGTACTATCGGCAGTACCGAGAGGAAATGGGGACGCACCCGATGTGTGTCGAGGGGGAAAGGGGAAGTAAAATATGCACCAAGATTTGCGCCTGTTCCGGCGTCAGTGCGTCGCCCGCCTGGCAAACTTTGAACGGTTTGACCAAAGTGACGACTCCCTTTTGCAGCGACGTGGGCAAGCCCAGCTGCCTCAGCTGCGGTTCCATGCTATGCTGGAACTGCGGCAGGGGCCCTTCGGGCAGCTCCACCGTTTCGGGCGTGACAAATCCAGAACGGGCGTACTCCATCTCTCCGTATTCCTTCGCCCATTGTATTACCTGCGCAAATGCCTCATTAACGATACGCGATCGTTTTTCTCACAGGACTTCATATATTTTTAAAAGCGTGAAATCCCGTTCGCTGAGCTTTTGATTTTAAACTTAGTTTAATAGTGTTACTCAAGGCTTTAGTGTGCATATACCTGCTTCTTTGGTCTGTTGGTGAACAACAGACCACATTGGTCTCTCATCGAGTGATTCTTCATTGCGTTGGCCAATTTATGTATGCCCTCCGCAACCTCGGTTTCCTGCGACTTTCCCAGGCCCAGCGCAATTATCCTGAGCTTCCCGAATACAAGCTTACTGTCTTTCCACTCGTCGCGTAAATCGAGGAGCTTGGTGTTGCGTGAATTTTGAATGGAAATAAGGAACACACGGCTGTACTCTTCCACACATTTCTTGACATCCTCCATGATCCGCTGCTTCAAGACTAGACCCTTTTTATTGGTCTTAGTGAGAGAAACTGCAATAGAAACAATTCAGTTGTGTTACATCGCACATATTCCTTTTACTACAAAGATATCAAAGATAACATTCGCGAAGTGTTAATTTATCACGATAAAACTGTGCGAGGAAGTGCCGAGCCATGAAAGTAAACTGTCTTTGGAGGTTATCTGCAATCGGACTAATCGCTTAAAAGCAAAACTCTGCACGGAAATGCGTCAAAATACGCCAGAAGACTTCGGGGAAAGTACTTTTTTTGTCTCTCTTCGATTTCGGCATCGTGGAAACTGGATTCTTTCACTGATCGAGGAAATGGAACAAAATTACTATCGATCCGATTCAACAAACACGTGCCGCGAATGCTATGCAGGCTTTTCTCTGGCCATGTGCGCTCGCACGTTACGCGGTTACGTGAGTTCGGACATTGACAGAGAGGACGCCACATGCAGCGATTTCGAGTCAATGCAGTTTCCCCTCTCCCTCGCGATTTTATTCTTTTCCGCTCTTTCGTAAGAGAAAATCTACCAAAGACATTTTACGAAATTTCATGTTACTTTAGACAGCAACAGAAAAATTGTTTGTAAGAGAAAATCTATCGATGACATTTAACGAAATTATATTATTTTAGACAGCAACACAAATTGTTTGTAAGAGAAAATGTATCGAAGACATTTTACGAAACTTTTTATTATTTTAGACAGCAACACAAGAATTGTCTGTAAGAGAAAATCTACCGAAGACATTTTACGAAACTTTATATTATTTTAGACTGCGGCACAAATTGTTTCTAATTTATATTTTTACAGAGCTAATTTGTTAATTTTTTCTCAGGGCACTTGTTTCTTTATTAATGCTTAAAAAGATACTAACAATTCATTAACCTGTTAACAATTTTTGAGGTCTTTACATAACCTCCGGAGCCAATTTTCAGTCCAGAATTCCCGACTGCGAGGGAAATGTGGTGGAGTTGGGAGAAAGTAAATGCAATTCGATATATAATCTCTATTCATTTATTTATTATTACAGCGAGTCCCGCCGAAGTGAACGCTACAAAATTGCTCGCGCCGTTAATCTACCACTTGCACGGCACACGATATTTATGAAATACGCGCGAAATATTTATAAGATCTATTTAAATGTTTTACAGATATCACATATCGTTCGCTCCCGGGGACGAGTGCGAGCGATTCAAACGGCCGCGCCGCGGCGCGGCGGAAGCGGGCGCGCGAGCGCCCGGCAAGATGGCGGTTTCCGCTAGTCGCGCCAGTGCATTCAGCTCTCGCTGATCGCGTAGTGAACGTTAGCTGTTGAACACGTCGAGAGCCCGATTTCCCAGACCGTTTACAGCGCACCGAAGGTGAGTCCGCGGCGTCCAGCCGCCGTCCGCGCTCGCCGGTCGTCGCGTCGCGCCCCGGGGGGGCCTCGCGGATCCGCCGCGCGCGACCGCGGCGGATCGCGCGACGTGCGCCGCAACGCGGCCCGTGTGGACCCCGTAGCCATGCCGCCCCGACGACGTCGGGGCGGCTCGTCGCCGCCGCTCCGCGATCTCGTCGGCGATGATCGCGCGTCGCGCGCGCGTCCCTCGTCTCCGCGGATCGCCGAGGTCGAGTCGAATCCCGGAACTCGCCGCCCGGCGAGACGCTCTCAGCGAGATCCACGAGCGGCGAATTCGTCCGCTCATTCTCTCTCTCTCTCTCTCTCGCTCTTTCTCTCTCACTCTCTCTCTCGCTCTTTCGCGCTCTCGTTCGCGCTCTCTCGCTCTCACGGCTACGTCGCCGCGATCGACGGCCTGAAGGCGGCCGCTTGCCGCACCGATGACGCACGAGACGCCGTGCGAGGAAGAGAGAGAGAGAGAGAGCGAGGAGTGCCAGTCGTCTCGTTCCTCGCGGCCGCCATGTTGCTTTCGCGACCGGCGACGAAATTCCTCGCACGTTGCCGGGCCATCTCGGGGGAGATGGTGCGTCGCGGGGATGTATCCGCGTCGCTCCGGGTGGTTATCGGCCGATAAGCAGGGACGATTACAAGGTGACGGTTGACGACGACTGACGACGAGGGGCGGGAGGGGGAGGCAGACGGCGGAGCTCGCGCTCGCCCGAGCGTTCGCATCGATCGCTTTTTTTCCCCATCTCCGTCCAGAACTCCCTCTCCCCGTGTCTCTCTCGGTCACTCTCTTTCTTTCTCCCCCGGGATTCTTTTAACCCTTATTCACAGAGCGGTCGTCCGTAAGAGTTATTACTCGCGGTGCCGTAATCGTCTTTCGGCGCGGTTTAAAAATGTCGCGCGAGGCGGGCACGGCGCGCCGCGCCGCGCGAGACGAGGCTCTCGTTCCCTCGGACAACGGGAGATTGATAACGCGCGTACGATCGCGACGGTCAGGGGGAGATTCCGCTTTGGCGGCGGGAGCCGCCTTTGAAAGGTTGCCCACCTTTGCGCCCCGAGAGACGGGCGCTCGTCCACACGTGTGCGCGAATTACGCGTCTGCGACGCGCGTAACTCGCTGGTGAGCGAGCGCGTCATTCGTCCCACCTTAATTTTCGAAACACCCGGATCTCAGTTTTCCAAGTCACCGAGAGAGAGAGATAAGATTAAGACTGCTCGATTCCTGTCGTTGGACGCGACGCCGATTACGCGGAAGGGAGGATCGTCCCGTTTCTGGAAGCGAACGCGCTGTCGGATCTGTTTTGCGACAGCCGCGAATGAATGGCAAAACCTTTCCCTCCCTTCCTGTGAAATTGTATCCCGCGATAACCTCGGGAATTATCCAACGTAGAAAATTACATGACGACCCATGGCTGGGCAAATTGTAGTTAAAGAAATTCAATGCGAAAAATAATACCTCGGCCAGGGTTTGAGCCTGGACCTCCCTACGCTCTAGGCGGGCGTCTCCACCAATTGGACCACGCTCGGAAATTATCTCAGGAAACACGTAAGAAGCGGACGCTGTTACGTAATTACGTCGTTTCCACGTTCTCGCGTCGATAATTTGGCAATCGATACGCGGCCGCGCCGCTGCCGATCCCAGCCGCGCCGCGAACGGCGCAGTAATTTTTCTCGCGGCAACGAGTCGTAGAACTCGCTGGTCGCGAGCGCGGAGCCCTTCGTAGCGATGTTAACATCGGAGCGCCCGGATACGCGCCTCGGTGCGCCACTTTGGCCAACGAGTCCTCTCCCTCTCCCTCCCACGTGGCTAATTCGCGATTTAGGTGCGTAATGGGGCGATGTTATCTCAGATTACCTGTCCACCACGCGTTCCCGCCCACCTTGCCTCTAGGTCATCGAACAGCCGGCGAGGTCTGCTCTTTTCGCCAAGGCCGACACCCTCCGCCTCCGTCGTCTCCGCGTATTTGCGTAACGAGCGAAGGCCTCTTTCTACAGCTCCGCAGGCCGTCTCGCGTTCCCTCGCCGACGAGTCTCGCGATTACTCGCCATTCATCCGTCGGCGGTCTTGCCGATCGATCGCGACTTACCTGAGCCCGAGGCGACGCGAGGGAAGAGGGAAAAGAGAGGTGTACAGGGTGTCGAAAAGTATTCGGCGATCGAAGGGAACAATTTCTGGCGAAACCTCGTAGCGTCGGGACGCTGGCGTTTCTTTGAGGGGCGAGAGATCGAATTGGACGGGGAGGGAAAGAGATTTGAGAGAGCGTAGGAAGAAGGTGGCGTCCGAATTTCCACGAAGGCTTACTCGACGTTACTTTTCCGGTCTCTTTCGGCAGTTCGTACTTTTACGCCGCGTTGTTGCGTCGATACTGTTGTTCAGCTTTTAACGGGAGAAATGCACCGTATATAACCGCGATACGAGCGAAAACAAGACAGTCGGAGAAATGCGCCACTCTGCGAGTCTAGGAATCGTCGATTATCATCGGTTCGCGGAAAGCGAGACGGCGCGGGTTAATTGGGATTGATATATCGACCGCGGTGCGATCCTGGCTGGAGCGGCGCAAGGCCAGCCAGGAGATGCAGGTGAGGTACCTGCTGTGTTTATCAGCGCATTCCCAGGAACGCGATGTAGGCCGGTATTCATAGTCGGAACTTCTGTTCAAGACCGTCTTGAATTTATCTAAACACGCTGTATGGAACATTTCATCGGCTACGGAATATCTAAAGATGATCTTAAGACGGTCTTGAATATAAAATCTTGCACACCAATGCCCACTAATGCCCGGTTATCTTGTTTTATCTTACTTTATCTTTATAATACCCTAGCAAGGCCTAGTGCCCAAAAAGTGCCTGAAAAATGCCTAGTAATCCCGCAATGCCCTCAGTGGTTTCCCCCTCGGTCAGAGCCTTATGAATTTTATGAATTTGTTTAATTACGCTGGATGAAAAAACGTTTCATTTTCATTAGTTGTATGGGGAGGGGGGGGGGGAGAGAGGAATATTTGTTCTGTGTTGCAAGACTGACAATTATGTCGGCGCGCAGTTCTATTTCGAATTTAATCGCGATATGTGACTTCCGTGAAATAACTTCAGACTGTTTATTGCGATAAATATTACCGCATGCCATCGTGGCGCAGATGATTGTGCGCTGGTCTGGTAATCCGAAGACCCGGGTTCAAAACCGAACAAAACATTGTTGGTTTTCGTTCGATCGCCACATAGCGAAGTGGAAATAGAGAGAGGTGTTATAAGAGGTTTGGGTACGTTCCTTCAAAAACGCCTTGTAACCCCGAGGGGAATCAATATAATGTATTTAAGTATTACCGCATGCCAAGTAAGATTTTTGTATGAGATTTGTATAAGATTGGAACCCTAAGGGAATCAATAAATTCAGTATCTATCTATCTATTACCACATGCCTCGGTGGTCCAATGGTGAGACCTAGTGAGGAGGTCCAGGTTCAAACCCTGGCTGAGGTAAATTTTTCGTCATAAATAAAAAAATTAAAATCATTCAGACGCTAACATTTCAGCTCTCGCGGACAGTTTTGAGATTGTTTCGAGCGGTTGCGAAATAACGGCCGAGAGGCACGCAATTAATTTAATAGCGATTCGACATTAATGTAGTTTAAATAATTTAATTGCCCCCCGCTTGTGCATTATTAATCGGCGCAAAATCAATGTCCAGATTGTGCGCGCCGGCCGCTCGCTGTACACGCTTGTTTATTACGCTTCAGCACCGCGACCCAGGGGGACACGCGCGCGTGTGGCGGCGTATTTTACGTATCCCGGGGTCGCTTACGGCAGTTACCCCGCCTGCAAACTGCGCCGTAATCGGGAAATTAATTTAATTGGGACGATTCTCGGGCGTCGCGGCACCTCGCGCTCCCCGCGCTCGGTTTGCCCGTTTTAAATGGACGAACGAGCGGACCCGCGGACGCGACGCGGCAGCCGATACTTTCGGATTTAATCCGAATTATCGGGGATCGGGCCGGT